CGGGCCCCTCATGGGGCTCGGCAGTGGAGCTGCAAGGCCGGCGGCGGCGGCCGGGACCGTTGGGGGCGGTGTGTGTGGCCTTATGACACACGTCCGGTGATATCAGGGGGTGTGGCCTTATGACACACTTCCGGTGATGTCAGGGGTGTGGCATATGCTAATGAGTTCCCCTAGCTCTTTTTCTACGAAACGACCCCTGATAAGAACACAAGAAGAGCCTTGATGGATTAGACCAGTTGTCCAGCACCCTGTCTCTCAGTGCCCAACTAGTTATTCTGGAGGGCCAAGGACTTCCCAAATAGCTGTAGCTAGTACTGGAAGTGCTGATCAACTCACATTGGGACTGGGAGCCCTTCTTCGAACAGAGACATCCTTTATGAATCATCCTTATGGACCCTTCTGTAGGTGTCAACAGGGAGGCTGGCTGCGTCAGACAAGAGGCTGGGCATAGCCCTTTGGAGTTTATTTATTTATTTATTTAGGGATTTATATCCCGCCCTACCCAGTGGCTCAGGGCGGCTAACAAACAGGGTTTAAAAGTTTAGAACAATAGAAACAATGTTACATACATAATAAAATTTCCTTTTGGGGCACTCCTACCTTGTGTACTGGGAGAGCACACCATGCATAATCCTCCTCTTATGTGCGGTTGCCATTTTGTGTGATTGGGGAAACTCGTGTATTTTCAAGATTCAGTATGCACGAACATGTACCTGCACCAAATCTGGGCACAGTACAGAGGGATAGCCATGTTAGGCTATCGCAACAGAATAAAACAGGAGTGTGGTGGCACCTTAAAGATGAACAACATTTACTCAAACCTGGATAGCCAAGGCTAGCCTGATCTTGTCAGATCTCGGAAGCTAAGCAGGGTTGGGCTTGGCTAGTATGTGGATGGGAGACCACGAAGGAATACCAGGGGCATGACATGGACGTAGGAAATGGCAAACCACCTCTGAATGTTTCTTGCCTACAGGGTAGCCATAAGTCAGCTGTGACTTGACAGCACTTTCCATTACCAACAATAACATCATTTATCTTGCTATAAATACTATGTGCCTAAAGAGCAGGAGAAAGCAGTATATTCTGTAGCCATGGGGAAATGGGATATAATGTAGTAAGGGGTGTCAGGGAGAGGCGGGCAGATTGTCTTACCTCTTTTCCAATTGCAAGCTGTCCTAACGCATCCATGCTGTGGGTTTTTCCCCTTCCTCTTCCAGGTGATGCATAGTTATCCTTGACTCCTGGCCCCCTCCCCCCAGAGATGCTTCACTTCCCATGGGGCTTTGCGGTTTTTCTTCCATTTCTCCTCAGCCTGGCTTCTGATCCCCGTGACCCTTGCTATGATGCCAACCGACGTCCGCGCTACTGCCTCCCAGAACTGTCTGAACTGGCTTCAGGGCGTTTGGTGGAAGCGTCCAGCACGTGCGGCAGACCTCCTGGGCGATTCTGCACCTTCCGGGACTCAACCGACACCGCCTCCAAATTCTGTCAGCCCTGCAAAGAAAACTCTCACCCGCCAGAGTACCTCACGGACACCGATGGTGGTGCTACTTGCTGGTGGTCCCGGCCAGCAGCCAATGCCACGCTTACGTTGACACTGGGACGCCGTGTTGAAGTTCTCTATGTGGCTCTCCGGTTTTGTTCCCCACGCCCAGAATCCCTGGCTATTTACAAGTCTATGGACTACGGGCGCAGTTGGGTGCCCTTTCAGTTCTTCTCTGCCCACTGCCGGCGGCGCTACCACTTGCCAACAACCACTGTTATTTCGAAGTCCATGGAACACGAGGCAGCCTGTATTGATGCCCAAACAGCCCCGAAGCCTCTCGCTGGGGGATTGGTAGCCTTCCTGCCTCTAGCGGGCCGTCCCTCGGCCAGGATGTTTGAATACAGTCCTGTCCTCCAGGACTGGGTGACTGCCACTGACCTGCGGGTGTCGTTTGACCGCATGCACTCAACACGGACGCTGGGGCTGCGAAGAAGGGAAGCGTCCTATGGGGTGGCTGAACTGCAGATCGGGGGCAGATGCAAATGCAACGGGCACGCGTCACGGTGCACGGCTGGGAAAGATGGTGGGGCACCCCAATGCGATTGCCAGCACAACACAACTGGGCCAGAATGTGACACCTGCAAGGCCTTCTACTGGGACAGACCCTGGCAACGGGCAACACCCAAAGACGCGCATGAGTGTGTGGGTGAGACTGAGAGAGGCTGAGCGCAGAGAGCTGATGATTAGGGAGGGTTGGAAGCAGAGCTGGGCCTAGTGGTTTGGTAGCTTGCCTGAACAGTGCTAAACTGATCCTCCGCCCTCTTGAGTCCCCATTTCCTTCAATCAAATCCCATGAGGGCTTTGGAGGGGTGGATGCAGACCTTGCCCATATTCTTACACAAACCAGGGTTTTATTTCAGAGATGAGGATTTGCAGGGCTCTTTTTGTAGAAAAAGCCCAGCAAGAACTCATTAGCATAACAGGCCACACCCAACAGCAGAAACTCATTAGCATATTAGGCCACCCCCCTGACAGCACAGCTCATTAGCACATTGGGCCGCACCCCCATGTTACCAGAAGTGTGGTCATCCAGCCACACCCACCTTTCGCTTCTTATTCTGTTTACCTTGTTTGTTGTCGAAACCCAGGGCCTTTTTTTGTAGCACGAACTCCTTTGCATGTTAGGCCACACACCCCTAATGTAGCCAATCCTAATGAGTTTCTGCTGTTGGGCGTGGCCTGTTATGCTAATGAGTTCCTGCTGGGCGTGGCCAACTCGGGAGCCAGCCGGAACTCCGTTCCTGTGCGTTCCTGCCCCAAAATAGCCCTGAATTTGTCTAAAATCACAGGCACAGCTCAAACCTCATAGGTTGCAGTCACATGCGCCAGAAAAAATGGGGGGGAAGCGAGGCTATTTCCTCGGGAGGAATTTGACCCGCAGTTGCACCATCACATCTCCCTTTGAAGCTGTGGGCACAGTCCGTCAGTGTGTGATCAGACGCAACTGCGGGTGAGTCGGGGGGGGGATTTGTGCCGTTTTCCCCCATGCGCATAACTGAGGGATCGATGAATCGCAAATCCACACCGAGGGCTCCCTATGGAGTTTGCGATGATGCGCATACTGCGAAGGGGGGGAAACAATGGCATGGAGTCGGGGTGGCCTGATCAGACCATCCTGACGCCATGAGAGCGCGCTGGAGCAATCAGGCATGGGAAAGTCCCTCTGTGGCCCATCACAACCCCGTTAACTACCAGATTTCCCCTGGTGTCTTTTCACTCTGCTTCTGCAGCGGACCAGAACGGGTTGCCGATAGCTGTGGGGTGCTTCCCAGATGTTGTTGTCTGATCGTACCCTTTAAATCTGCCCAGCATCCGCGCCTATGTCGGGTCTACTTGTGTGCATGATCACAGCCATACGAAGTCTACCCTGTCTCTAAGCAAGGCTGGCCCTGGTTTAAAGCGGACGGGACTAAAGTTACCAGCTCCACGTTGGGAAATTGCTGCAGATTTTGGGGTGGAGCCTGAGGAGGGGAGGGGAGGGGAGGGGAGGGAGTTCGGTGGGCTATAATACCATGGAGTCCACCCTCCAAAACAGCCATTTTCTCAGAGTGAACAGATCTCTGTATCCTGGTGTATCCCTGGAGGCTGGCAGCCCTAAAATGGTGGGCGGCAGGGGCAGCTTTCGGTCAGGGTTGGGGGAAAGGGGCAGTGCTGACAGACCCCTTCCTGCCTCCCCAGCTTGCAGCTGCCACCTCCACTCCCACCGCTGCTGCGCAGGTTCAGACTGCGACTCTTTGAGCTCTCAGGGCGCCAAAGCGGGGGGATATGCTTGAACTGCCGACACCACACAGCTGGCCGCCATTGCCAGTATTGCTTGCCAGGCTTCAAGCGCGACCTCAGCCGCTCCATCACAAGCAGTAAGGCCTGCAAAGGTGAGTTGGAACTCTGGGGAACACGTCCATGAAGTCCTGTTACCTTTTTCTGTTTTTCCTGTTTTGATTGCAAGGAAAAGCCACGCCCAGAATCCCTGGCTATTTACTAGGCTGGTTTCTCTTCCTGACAGAAACTTTCCCAGTTTGGTGTAGAAGAGCGCAGACTCTAATCTGGGGAACCAGGTTTGATTCCCCACTACTTCACATGCAGCCAACTGGGTGACTTTGGGTCAGTCATTTCTCTCAGAGTTCTCTCAGCCAAGCCTTCCTCATAGGGTCTCTGTTGTGGAGAGAGGGAGGAAAGGAGATTGTAAACTGCTCTGAAACTCTGAGTGCAAGGCAGGGTATAAATCCAATCTCCTCCTCCTCCTCCTCCTCTTGTTCTTCCTCTTCCTCCTCTTCCTCCCAGAAATTTATACTGCTAAGAGGTTCTGTGTCAGCGGTCTCACAGTGCAGGGTATAATACCATACAGTCTGCCCTTCTAAGCGGTCATTTCCTTCAGGGAAACTGATCTCTGCAGTCTCCAGGTCCCATGTGGAGGTTGGCAAACCCTAAACTACTATGCATTTTCCCCTCTTTGACTGATGGAACATGTCCTTATACTGGTTTCCAAGTTGATGCAACTCCCAGGACTTCCCCTGGTGAAGAACCTGGGGAAATGTAGGTTTTGTGAGGCTGCTGAGAATTCTCAGCGATCTCTAGTCTCCTTATTGCATCGCCTTGGGTGGTGGAAAGGGGATAATCTATATCCTACCAGGCCACTTAGCAAATATGAAGCCTTCCTCCAACTTAAGCACTTCTTCTGCTGGTAGAAGGTGGAGGAAGTATTTTTCAGCTGGAGGAAGACTTCGGATTTTGCTGACGACACAAGCTGGTAGGACACAAGCCCCGCCAAGGCCCTCCCTGGCCCCAGACAGGCAGGGGTGGGGAGAGGCGGGGAGGAAGCAACTTCCTCTTCTCCTGCCTCCTCCTGGCTGAATGAGAGCTGGAAGCAGGGCGGCCGGAAGCAGGGGGCGGGGCTTCATCATGTGCCCCGCCCCCTGGACCTGCTTGGTAACTGGAGCACATGGTGTGCAAAAATGGGCTTTCCCTTCAAGATCCCCTGGAACCCTGGACTGTAGATGTTCCTGACATGGTAAATATGAAGCATTAAACCATCTCTGAACATCTCTTGTATTGAAAACCCTACAGGGTTGCAAGAAGTCAGCTGTGACCTGAGGGTACTTTCTACCACCAAGCATGGAGGAGCCTTGGATTATGTCTGCTGACTCCAGGGGGAGGGCCACGTTATGACTTTCATGGGCCATAGACACTTTTGCCTTCATGGGCCCGTCCCACAATAATAATATTAATATTAAAATTTATTTTTGATATAACTTTAAATACTTCAATATTTTATTTTCTGTTTAGGCAAAATTTAATAGATTTTCGTGGGCCCTAAAATTTCTTCTTCTTTTTTTTTCTGATGTGAGAAAAAAAAATTAAAACATTTTCTTAGACCCTAAACGTTCGGGTTTTTTCATTCTCATTTCAAAAGAAATTAAAATATTTCATAGGTCCCTAAAAGCCTACTCAGCCCTGGCCACTCTAAACAAAACTCATACTACTCTAATGCAATAACTGCTGCCTTGTTTTCTTCCTAGCTTGCCAGTGTCACCCTATTGGAGCAGTTGGTGCCATATGTAACCAGACGACTGGGCAGTGCCAATGCAAGAACGGGGTTACTGGGCTGACCTGCAACCGCTGCGCCCAAGGTTTCCAGCAGAGCCGGAGCGCTCACACCCCCTGCATTCGTAAGCTTGCCACTCATTTGAACCTTACTCAGTACCCTTTTGGTACGGCTCCAGGTGTGGCCGCAGCACACATCTCCGGTAAAGACATTGATGCTGCAGGATCTGCATTTCAGCAGCTCTTTCTGTCCTAATACCCCATTTCAGCATCATTTGGCTACTGCATAAATCAGTTTGCTCTGGAGCCATCCTTCCTGAGCTGGAACAAAAATGTGTGAGCTGGAGGCTAAAAAACTGTGAGCTAGCTCACTCTAACTCAGCTTAGAGGGAACACTGATCTCCGGTAAAGACACTGATGCTGCAGGATCTGCATTTCAGCAGCTCTTTCTGTCCTAATACCCCATTTCAGCATGGCTATCTGGTAGGGTTCTTCAGAAAAAATAAGAACATAAGAGAAGCCAATGTTGGATCAGGCCAATGGCGTATCCAGTCCAACACTCTGTCACACAGTGGCCAAAAAATACCAGGTGCCATCAGGAGGTCCACCAGTGGGGCCAGAAGCCCTCCCACTGTTCCCCCTCCCGGCACCAAGAATACAGTGCATTACTTGCCCCAGTCTGAGAGTTCCTATGTATACCTTGTGGCTAATAGCCACTGATGGACTTCTGCTCCATATGAGCTGTCCATGCTTGTAGCCGCCACCACCTCCTGTGGCAGTGAATACCATGCGTTAATCACTCTTTGGGTGAAGGAGTACTTCCTTTTATCTGCCAGGCATATTTCTGTTTTCATTTAGTACAGAGCCATCGTGTTCTCCAAAGGTAATGCCAACATATCCTATAGGAGCAGAGGCAGTCGACTTCTGAATCCCAGAGCCAGGAGGCAACATCAAGGGAAAGCCTCAACCTCTATGCCCTGTTGCTGGACCTCCAGAGGAACTGGTTGGCCACTGTGTGAGGCAGGATGGTGGAACCGGATGGACCACTGTTCTGATACAGCAGGGCTCACCTTATGTTCTCATGAGCACCTCATAACTGGGCAGCCGTATATTTTTTTCACAACACGGCAGTGTTAGAGCCTGCTCATTCCAGTAAACTAAAACTCCCTTCTCCATAATCCTCTCCCTCATCATCCTGGGTATGTTGTACTTGGGGTAATTTTACTTCCAAGAGAAAAGGCTGTGAAAACAGAACGTTCTGTCACAGCTGCAGAAGCACCATGTTTTCCAGTGAGCCCCACTTGTTCCACAGGAGGTGCTAGATGAGCATCTGACAAAGTGAGTCCGTTAGTCTTTGGGGATCTGGGCAGAGTACGGAAATATCATTCCTGGTGGAACTGTTGTGAGACATCCAAGATATCATACCTGCAGCCTTCTGGCAATATAATTCTTAAAACCTTCCACCCGCTTCATGTGTGGACCAGACGGCGCTGAGAACCTCCTCCCCTACCCCCAATCTAGCATCTCCACGGGCACAAGGAGTTGCACCCACAAAATGTGATTTCCCCTCTTTCCTTCTCCCACAGCAGTCTGAAACATCCCCTGAAATCCTGTCCCCAGGGGATATTTCTGTCTGCTGTGAGAGGGGGAAGGCAGAAAAACCACACTATGAAACACCAGCCTGGATACGACCACTATCTGTTGTTTCAGTGGATGTAAACTGCTTGGGAAGCCAATCCGTAGCTGAAAAGCATACTTGAACACAACAGAAAAAATTGGTACAGGGAGTCATTGCAAAAAATCTCTGGGAGCTTAAAGAGCTCTCCTGTCTAGTGCTGAGGATGTTCTTTTCCTGTGAGCTAACAACTAAAAGATCAGCTTGAGAACACACCTGCCAGAAATTCTCATACCCAGGGTAGACTGAGGACTTTTAATGGTCGGAGAGGAGAGATTTGCAGTGTTGCCCCTTCTAGTATGCAAAAAACCTGTGTGTGCAGATAGACTTCATCAGGACCCAGTTGCTCGAACCACAAGGTTCAAAAGACTAATTTGTTATTGGTGGAGAATTTTCTTTCAACGTACATAGCTTGCTCTGTACCTTCCATCCCTCAGGGATCCCGGAAGTGACGACAACCACCATGGTCCCCCCACAGGAATGGAACACAGGTGAGCAGGTAGAAAGGAACAGCTTGTGGGAGTGCTTTGGTCTTCTGAAGGAGGAGAGGCCCGAGCTTGTTTTGTAGAAGCAGGGTGGCTCAAGCTCCTCTGAAAGATTACCCCCTGTCATCTGACTAGCATTGCCAACCCCGGTAGGGTTGCCGAGTCTGGGTTGGAAAATACCTGGAGACTTTGGGGGTGGAGCCAGGAGAGGGCGTGGTTTGGGGAGGAGAGAGGCCTCAACATAGTACAATGCCATAGAGTCCACCCTTCAAAGCATCAATTTTCTCCAGGGGAGCTAATCTCTGTTGGCTGGGGATCAGGTGTAAAAGCGGGAGATCCCCAGGCCCCACCTGGAGGCTGGCAACCCTAAACCCCGGGCTGGGAAATTCCTGGAGATTTGGGGGGAGAGCCTGTGGAGGGCAGAGTCCGGGGAGGGCGCTTAGCAAATATGTGGTGTTTTAGAGTCCACCTGCTAAAGCTGCCTTTTTCTCCAGGGGAACTGGCCTTTGTAGACGAGTGATCAGTTGTAATTTCAGAAGAACTTCAGGCCCTACCTGGAAGGTGACAACCCTAAATCTGGCAGCTATTTAACTC